GAAGTCCGGATTAAATAATATTGTAATTTTTATCCCGGAAAAAATTGATATTCCCGAGGGAAAACAAAAGTATATAATAATAATAATAATAATAATTCTTTATTTGCTCAATGTGGTACATGATATAGATGTTACATACAATATATTTAGATCAGCACATTTACCATTATTGGCATGCAAATTGGGTACATTTAATCTTTACTGTAGATTAAAATAAAATACATGAAGGCTACAATTTTGGTTCATAAACTAAGTACACTTACTGCTCTTATTTATTTCTTTCTTTAAAACTAAAAGATTTACATTTGTTTTTTTCTAAAAATTCGTGGATTGAGTAGTAATTTTCTTTAATTAGCCATTGCTTTAATACATTACAAAATTTCTTATACGGAAGTTCAGTTATAGATTTAGGCAACGTATTATAAATTAGAGGAGCCATATAAACACAATTCCGTCTAAATAACTCCAATCTAGGCGAAGGCACTTGAAGAAGTACGCATGTTGCTTTTCTCTTATTTACATTATCTTTAACTTGAAAAAGCGAAGGATTGGTTCTTATGAATTTAGCAATTTCATAAATATAAATGGACGGGACAGTTAACAGCTTATTAGACTGAAATACAGGCCTACAGGATTCAGACCATTTCAAATTAAATATTGCCCGAATGCATTTTTTCTGCGCTATAAACACTCTAGAAATATCCGTAGAATTTCCCCAAACAATTATTCCATAACGAATTATTGAACAAACATACGCATGGTAAACAAGAATAGCCGTACACCTTGATGTAACGTCTTTAACCTTTCTCAAAGCAAAGATAAACTTATTAATCTTATTACAAATATTATCTATATGGATTTTCCATGTAAGGTGTTCGTCAAGAATAACCCCTAGAAACCTTGCACTGCGAACCTGTTCAATCATTTGACCATCATATGCAATATTTAAATGTATGTGTTTACTTTTCCAAGTTTTAAATTTTAATACATTCGTTTTCGTTACATTTATTCTTAGTTTGTTAATGTCTAACCAATTAGTAATATCTTTTATTGACTCATTTATAATGGTATCATAGTTTTGTGGATTTTTGGTTTCTATGATATGGTTTCTATAGTGGTACTATTTTTATCTGATAATAACAAATCTATATTAAAATCTCCACAGATAATTATATTCTGTTTTTTATTGTGAAGTCTCGAAAGAGTCTTTTCAAGACTATCAAAAAATATGTTAACATCGGAGTTTGGGGTTCTGTATATACATATTATTATAAGTTTAAGTTTATTTATCATTACACCACACATTTCAAAGTGTTTTTCAATTGCAAATTCTCTTATAGTATCTAGTCTAGTACTTTCATAATCATTTTTACAAAGAATACAAGTACCTCCGCGACGTTTGTTTTCACGAGAGAAAATATCAGCTAGGTAGAAGCCGTTTATGTTGAGGTACATTTCCTCATGCTTTTTGATGAAGTGTTCACTTAAACATACAACTACAACATTTTTTTTTTGCTCGAGCAGCTCCAGTAGGGCTACGTCCAGGTCCTGCATCTTATTCAGGGCACCCGCAATATTTTGGTGGAATATAGAATACGTAGACTTATTCACGAAAAAAATTATTTACTTTGGGCCGGGTTTTTGTACCAGAATCATTATTTATCGGTTCAACTTGTGACAATTTTTTTATAATGATAGGAAAGTAGTAAGGAATTGTACCTTTTTTTATTTCTACCTTAGACACAGCTTTTTTACCATAAGGATTATTGTTTAATGTTTTCTTAGGGTTAATACAGTTTTGAAGTGTGACATCATTATAAGACAGGAACATTTTATTATATACTCTTACATTGATATGATAAATTATTTGCTGTATAACATTATGTGGTTTTGTCTCTATAAATGTACAGTTTTTATAATTTCGAGTTATTAACTTTAGCTGATCATTGAGTTTACGTTCATTAAGATAATTGTTATGGAAAACATTAACTACATACACATTGCATTTATTAAAATAATGTAACGCTATAGACATTTCAGACAAAATTTCAACTGGGTTGGAGTCATTGCTCCCAGTCATTATAACTACGTGGTCTTTTTTTGAAAGTCTATTACAATAATCATTACAACCTGCCAATACATGTTTCGTTGTGGCGTATGGTTTTGTGATAGACTGTACTTTGTAATCATCAGCAAATAATTTATGCTTGTTTTTTAGTAATGTTTGTACAATACCTTGTCCCTGATTATCTGAGAAGATGAATATTTCACCAGTTTCTTTAGGACATTTTCTACTATCGGGTTGACTTAATACAGACTTAGGGCTAGTATTCTTGCTTGAATCCTGGTTCAGAGGAATGGGTATCTTCACGACGTTTTGCATGTCGAGATTAGGTTGACTAATGGTAATTTTCGGATCATCATTACTTCCAGGAAATACTATAGAGGTGTTGTTTCTTGAAGGCTTGGGTGTATGAAAATCTAAGTCAAGATTAAGTTTTCTAGAGGAGATTTTCTGTTTTATAGCCTGACTCCTATTCAGCTTTAATGAGGTTGACGATGATACAGTCTTCTTATGACTAAATGTAGTACACATTTTTCTTAGTTTCTCAGATTTTTTAATTTCATTTTGCAACTGTATTTTCATTTCAGAATTTTCCAATGTTAGCTGTTCTATCTCAGTGTGAGCACTTACTAATTCTTCTCGCAATTTATGTATTGAATTTTGTAATTGCGTTATTTCATCAGACTTGATGTGGGTAGATAAGTCCATCATACTTTTAATGCTCAAATTAGATGATGATGAATCAAGTGATTCAAGAGAGGTATTCGAAAGACATTTTCTAAGGCATCGGTTCCTCATTGTTATATTATTTAAATCCATGTTTATCAATAAATTTACTTAAAAAAAAAGTTGTCAGTGTTAATGTTCCAAATTCTATTAATTTTTTACAACGTTCCTGGAACGCTGCCTAAAATGGTATAATTAGTCAAAATGTACACCTGGAACGCTCGTGTTGATTCAGTTGGTAGTACTGGGAACCACAGACAGAACTGGAACGCGCTCAATTTCTACGCGTACGGTGAACGGTTGGTAGTGCCGTTTTTTATTTTAAAATTATGGAGGTAAAACAGTAAAGTTTTCACAAGTTTATTAATATACTTTTACTGAACACTTTCTTCCTTATTAGCACTGCACAATTACTAATCCCGTTTGAAAATGTTATTGTTTAATGTCCAGTTTATACCATGAGCACCTAATTAGTCTATTAATTATTTTCAAAACATTAATATCAGCACTGTGCCTCAGAACACTCAAATGTTGTTTTATATTAGTCTAAGTTATTATAGCATCTGCAAACGATATCACTGTATTATTAACTTATTTGGAACGCACTGATACTACTTTTACTGTATTTACACACTTAATTTACATAAAATTATAAGTTTAATTACGGAACCTGTGTTTACATTTGCTGGGGTTGCCAGCGTCTCGTATATCAGCGTATTAGTATAGATGGCGATGTGTGTATTGGTATATGTCACATAGGCTACTTTTTATCCTTTTATGACGCGAGCGAAGCGGCAGGTAAAAGCTAGTAAAATATAAACAGGCGTGGCCTTAGGCCTTATAGTGCACGGCGTTGGGCCGCCGGCAACTTCACCCCTTTTTCATTTCATGATTCACGCCCGTTTTCTATAAGACCGTGGGCCGTGGTATCACTACGGTCGAGCCGGCAGTGTCTAAGCATGGTTCTTCCACGTGAAACGAACCATTTTCTTCTATTTGTTTACTACGAAGACTTAAATTTTTATGATATTTATTCCGAGTAGCAGAGTCATTTATGGAATCTGTCCTGCTAACACCATTCAATTAGCAGCTTGTCATTGTAAACTAATTACTGATATGAACTGAGAATGGCTTCATTCGAAATTCATTATGACGCCATTGTAAACCGATTGAATTAGCTACGATTATAGTTTTCTTAGTGACACACTACAATGGTGACATAATTAGTGTTATAATGGGCTATTGAAAGTGTATGAATATATCGCCATATTTTTATTGAAAGCATTTTCGTCGCGAAACATAATCTAATAGTGCTTTGTTTGGCAATTAAACAATTATGAAGTCACTTAAAAGAAAATGGAGAAATATATTTTGCACCGTTTGGCTAGGTTAGCTTTTAGATATACTAAATTTTGCTAGCGACATCTTACGTACAAACATTGCACAAAATGATGCCTCATTTAACCCATTCCTGTAGGAAGTTCGGGCAAACCTTTTTTTAGTAGGTACTAGTCTCTTAGTAAGTGTGGGAGAGCCATGCTTCGGCACGAATGGGCCGGCTCGATCGGAGTAATACCACGGCCGAGCATAAAACCTTAGTGAAACAACGCTTGCGTTGCGTTTCGTCGTGTCAGTCCAATTATCCCTCCTTCAGGGATTTCAGGGATTCAGGGATTGAGGAGATTGGGGAAGGGGAGGGTAATTGGGCCTCCGATAACCTCACACATATATATATATATATATATATATATATATATATATATGTATATAGTAATTATTAGATGCGTGTAAAAAAGCTATGTAATGGTCGTGTCACGTTGATTGTCATGTGGTCACATTAGTTATAACAATGTTAGTTATTTATGCGTTAGTGCATTTTATACTATATATATATGTATGTGTTTAGGTGACTATGCGGTTGATATTCTGCATAATAATTAGTAAATATGGTAGGGCAATTATATACATATATATGTAATTAGATAAATAAATAATACTTTATGTAACTAGAAAATTGTATTGTGAACCTGTGTCCGGTATATGGCAATATACCCCTATTACATGGGACTCATAACATTAATAGTCATAAGTGGGTGTTAGGTGCCGTAATGTGCACCTCTGCTTGCTTATGGGATAAAAGGCGGTATGATGTCGAAATAAGCTAAGATTTTCTAATTGTATAATGTAAAGTTAATTATAGAGAACTCACCAGTAGTGGAATGGGGTTCTGGCTTCTACCTTCGAGCCCCTCAGCCAGCTCCAAGAGGTCTGTCTCATATAAACTCTGTCCACGGGGGATATTTGATAGTCTGAAACGGAAATATAAAGTAAATACCTCTATTCAGACACAAACAAGAAAAAATAAGAGTGTCTTAGATATGGAAATTCAGTAACATTTTTTTTTATTAAAACTCTTGTTTTCGCATCTGCATCTGCGATCGTTGGCCGAGCGGTCGCGAGTGCGACTGCCGGGCAAGAGGTCTTGGGTTCGATTCCCGGGTCGGGCAAAATATAACTGGGTTTTAAAAATTCTCAGTAGTAGAACGGAGTCTGTAATAGGCTCACCCCCTATTACATGGGACTCATAACATGAATAGTGAAAAGTGGGTGTTACATTGTACAGTGGCATGTACACCTCTGCCTACCCCTTCGGGGATAAAAGGCGTGATGTTATGTTATGTTATGTTATGTTATGTCTTGTTTTCGCAGTTTATTTTAATATCCCGTGTCCAGCTGTCAAAGACCTTTATTTCTTGATCTTAAGAGTTAACTTAGGATAAACTAATGTAGTAGGTATTTACCTGGCTCTAAGCATTTCATCGATAGGTAAGTCATCTGGGATCTCCTTGAGGTAGGGCACATTACCGGCCAACATGAACGAGGTGACCATACCGCTCGGTCCATTGCCTGAGAGAAAAAAACAATTAAGCGTCAAAATATAGAACGCAATTGGGATGATGACAGGGTATGAAAATTTAAAATCTAATTAGTCCGTAAGTTAGGTAATGAAAAAACATTAGACATGTATTTTTTTATTTTGTCGTGTAATAAAACAATACTTAGATATAACGTATCAAAGTTAAAAATGTACATAGAAGTGACGTCACGAGACATTTCAAATCAATATATCGTCGAAAGTATTCATTTGTGTAAGAAAATAAAAAAATACGTGTCTATTGATTTAAAATAATCTACCAGACGGATATTAAAATTTATTGAATTATTGAAATTTGAATCTACACACCTATACATAAATAAAATCTCAATCAATATCAAATCTCATTTCAATATTACAGACACTCCAGTGTCTGTAATATTGAAATACCTGCTTTTTACTACATACATGTACTGGCTAATCTTTGAAATGGCTGTGCCGATTTTGACGGGACTTACATTGGCTGGTATATAATAAACCAAGGAATAACATAACTACATTTATTTTAGAAAAACGCAGAAGAAGTTGCGTGTTAATGGTTTTATTTATCGTTGAACGATTTTTGTATTTCGAATACTAGATAAAATTTGAATGTGGGAATTGGACGATTCAATGACGGTGTGCAATTATTATATTAATGGCATCAATTAATTATACCAAAGCAAATAGCTATAGGAAGTGCATAATGATGTCTTTAACAATTATCCGGCCCTAGTATGTATTACATTACTTGTAAGTAAATGATTTGTGTAATTATGCATATAGGTATGTAGATAATAAATCAATAGGAAATATTGTGCAAGCTACTATGTAGATATTTTCCTTGTTTATTGATTTTATTATTTTATTGATTATATTATTGCATACTGAAAGGAGATTTTTTATAATGGACGTTTAGAGGACAACGATGATTGTGATTCAAAAATATTATCTGCGTGACTGTACTTTGTTATACATTCGGGTAAAATGTGAACGTGTGTCCAGTTGACGAAAACACAAAAGTAACTTAATTTGATTTTCACTATGTGGACATACATAAAAACCTTGGCGTGTCCAAATGACGAAAGAATAATCAGTGCTAATTTAAAGTTTCACCAACTGGACACACGTGTGATCAGTTCCTCGTGTCGAGTTGGTGAAAAACCCATATAAATATATGATTGTTACTCATTTGTTTTATTTCAAAATTTGTCTTAAAACCGAAACAATTTTTAACTTAACTGTACCTTTTTTAGAAAAAAAATATAGGTGTGTCCAGTTGACGATAACATAAAAGTAATTAATTTTAATTTTCACTATGTGGACATACATAAAAACCTTGGCGTGTCCAAATGACGAAAGAATAATTAGTGCTAATTTAAAGTTTCACCAACTGGACACACGTGTGATCAGTTCCTCGTGTCGAGTTGGTGAAAAACCCAAACGTCCCACCTAGTAATTTCACCGGGTAATTTTGTAATTATTCACCATTTGTGAATTTGTAAAAAATATATTTTTGACACCGAAAGTGTTTGAAAGTCGCTATTACCATGTTACGAGTACTATGCTTGTCAAATCTTCAACATGGAACCTGTTTTATTACAGTCTTTGAGTCTAACTCTAATATAAATATATGATTGTTACTCATTTGTTTTATTTCAAAATTTGTCTTAAAACCGAAACAATTTTTAACTTAACTGTACCTTTTTTAGAAAAAAAATATAGGTGTGTCCAGTTGACGATAACATAAAAGTAATTAATTTTAATTTTCACTATGTGGACATACATAAAAACCTTGGCGTGTCCAAATGACGAAAGAATAATTAGTGCTAATTTAAAGTTTCACCAACTGGACACACGTGTGATCAGTTCCTCGTGTCGAGTTGGTGAAAAACCCAAACGTCCCACCTAGTAATTTCACCGGGTAATTTTGTAATTATTCACCATTTGTGAATTTGTAAAAAATATATTTTTGACACCGAAAGTGTTTGAAAGTCGCTATTACCATGTTACGAGTACTATGCTTATCAAATCTTCAACATGGAACCTGTTTTATTACAGTCTTTGAGTCTAACTCTAATATAAATTTAGGCGATAGGACTTTTATCCCGATTAAATGCTCCTATGGGATAAAACAGTAATCATATTCTACACGGACGAAGTCGCGGATAACAGCTAGTGTTGATATAATATAACTGTTTCGGTTAAATATTTCAGCAAAATACCTAATTATCTAATAGAATAGGTCGCCAATTAACTAATTGTAGACTTGTTACGTAATTTTGAACCTTAAAATAACGCATTAAGATATCAAAGCTACTTATGAAATAGTACATTGTATGTGAGGCACGAGGGGTCAATTAATGTCGTCTGAACATTGGAGCTGGGTCGGGGTGACAGGAAGATTCCACTCGTACACATTTAGAGTTCATAATGCATTTGATTGATAGTTAAGAACTCCAATTATACATTTATTGCGCTCATGAAGAGTGACTTTGTATCTATATCAGTTAAATTATCTTTGTATATAACAGACTAGCTTTTACCCGCGGCTTCGGTCGCGTCACAAAAGGATAAAAAGTAGCCTATGTGACATATACCAATACATACAGCGCCATCTATACCAATACTTTTGTTTTCCCTCGGGAATATCAAATTTTTTCGGGATAAAAAGTACCTACCCTATTATTTAATCCAGACTACTAACTTTACGTCTGCATAAATTCAATGCAATCGGTTTAGTAGTTACGGCGTGAAGTCGGAACAAACAAACAAACTCACTTTCCGATTTATAATATTATAGTAGGATTGTAAGATACATGTAACATTAACTTCTTATAGGTTTGCAAGTCGAGCTAAAACTCTGCTTACGAATTAGTATTCATTTTTACGCAGTTACAATTGTGTTTTATAAAAAGTGGATTAGACAAGAGCTTAAACAACTAAGATTAACTAGTAAGAATAATCTCTTTTACTGTTATGTTATTGTTTTATGAATTACGACACTAATTCGAAAATTCGAGAAACTTTTTATTAAACCTTTTTGTAGTCGGTACGTTTAAGATTAACGCATGATATTAACTTTTCAATGATATAATATTAATAAAGTATAATTATAAACTTACCGATAACAACAACTTCTTTGTACACGACGTCGTCTGATAACGCGTGCTGGCAGGATTTCATACTGTCTTTCATTTTACTGTCTGATCTTATCGCATACAGCCTCCTTTGATGCAGCCTTTTTCCTTCTTTATCACTGATTTTTAATTATAGTCTATAGCTACTTCTATTCGATTGGTGGATTTAAATAGCGAATTCTAAATTCTAAATGCAGTCAGAATAAATACTTTTTTTAAATAAAATTAATATCACACGCAGTTTTGAGTCTTACGGACTTTTTTTAGTCTATTTTTCTTCGTCGTTAAGTTGGGTTTGTGGTAGGTTTGTCAAGGCTAACGTGGTTTGTGTCTGTTCTCTGAGGTTCTTTGTGTCATCTGAAACAATAAGAAAATAACAGGTTAGTAAAATAGTTCAGTTTTTAATGGTTTACTACATTTTAAATTACGTTTCCAGATTAAAGAACTGCAGTTAATAAGACGCTAGATCTAAAACGTATTAAAAGTAACAAACAAAAATATACGCTTCGATGGTGAAGTTACAATATTATTGTTTCGTCCTAACCGTTATTCAAGATTTAATTTTTCTATAAGTGTATCAAGTATCTTTTTTTTTATAGCATAAGCCGGTAAACGAGTAGACGGATCACCTGATAGTAAGTAATCGGCGCCGCCCATGGACACTCGAAACACCAACGCGTTACAAGTGTGTTACCGGCCTTTTGGGAATTGGGAATTTGAGGATTGTGGAGGATTCGGGGATTCGGGAGACGGGTAATTGGGCCTCCGGTAACCTCACTCACGTGACGAAACACAACGCAAGCGTTGCTTCACGTCGGTTTTCTGTGAGGCCGTGGTATCACTTCAGTCGAGCCGGCCCATTCGTGCCGAAGAATGGCTCTCCCACACTTAATTTTTCTTTTTTAAAATAATTCTACAATTTTTTCCCCAATACTATAAATGCAATATCATGTTGTTATTATCCCCATATCTTGAAAAAGCCATGAGTTCAGTACCGATAACTGAGGACTAAGGGTATCAGTTGGTATTATTTAAACAATAATTTGACACTAATTACATAATAACATGTAATATCGTACGATATGGTTATATTGTAGGTATGTGTAGACCATGTTACAAGTCATGGCGCAATGATAGCTTTGTCGGTTTAGTAAATACTAGCTTTTACCCGCGGCTTCGCTCGCGTCACAAAAGGATAAAAAGCCAATGTGACATATACCAATACACACAGCGCCATCTATACCAATACTTTTGTTTTCCCTCGGGAATATCAATTTTTCAGGGATAAAAAGTACCCTATTATTTAATCCGGACCTGTAACTTTACGTCTGCAAAATTTCAAAGCAATCGGTTTAGTAGTTACGGCGTTAAAGTGGAACAAACAAACAAACAAACTCACTTTCCGATTTATAATATAAGTAAGGAAGTAAGGATAAGTTCGATAATCATAAGGTCCAAGGATCTTTAAGTTTGATACCGATCTACCGACCTAACGGGTCTTAAAATACGAATAGACTGCGATACTTTGCATTTAGTGTATAAATCAAATATCTCTTCATGAACACGAGTGTCTATAGTTGGAAAATTTATTGTGATACGATAATTAACCCTAAGGTTGACTGTTAGGGAATGCCACTAAGCATTAAGTCCGCCATTGTATTTTGCAAAAAGTGTAAATAAATAAATAATTTGTGTCGGCCGCCGGCAGTTAATGCCACTGTACAAAGTAACACCAGCATTTCACAATTTATAAGTCACATATAATAGGGGGCCTACTGCCATATATCGGGCACAATTCTAGATTCCGTGCTACTACTGAGATTTGAAAAACCTGTAATACTTTGCCTAACCCGGGAATCGAACTCGGCGATGTCCTACAGTCGCAGTTGCGCCCAGTCGGTCAACGAGGCAGTTATGCATATTAGAACAATGTTGTATATAAAGCATATATCAGTCAACAGCCATCTCTTGAACATAATATATATATAGTGCACATGCGAACATTGGACGGGCATTATCTGATTAGTAGTATTACAAATAATGATAATATGAAATTGGCTGATAACACGCAGCGAGGGGGCCGTTATCAAGTCAAGATTATAATATATTTATATTGTTTTATGTGCAGGCTTTGGCTAATTTATATGAGTTGGGCTAGGACAAAGTATATTAGAGGTTTTTTTAAGGGGGAAAAATCATCAAATTACTGCTCCCGCCTGGGTGAGGCGGGAGGGAGTGTCAGACCTTACTGACTAAAAACCACCCCGTTCCTTCTCCTGCACTTCAAGCCGGAGCTCCGGTTATCCGTTAGATTCTCCGCGACTCCTAATCGGCATCGGCCCTGTTAGGCCCCATCTGTGGTGGTCTGATGGCTCTTTGAGGCGCGCGCGGAACGCGACGCGCCGTACGCTCGGGTCTGTTTCTGGTCGGACGGGGAGCCACCCATGCTCATCGTCCGCAATGACTATAAGGCTGTGTTATCAATTTAGATAGAGGATTGAATTCCAAACACCAGATTTGACTTGAAAATAAAACTCTTATCATTTGATAACAAATATAATCAAATATGAAACGTCGTAGGGGCTCAGCAGTGTGCAATTCGTGACATCATAGTATGGCGTCATTTTATTATCATCGTAATTATAAATGTGACTGTTTGTTTGTAATGCTCTTACTCCAAAACTGCTGTGTCGGTTTTGATGAAGTTTGGTTGTAGAGATAGATGATTTTGGTGATGTTTATAAGCTTTCATTGTTAAATCTAAATTATATGCAGATATGTGGGATTTTTTAAAAAGATTTGGTTGTTGAGGAGATTAAAATGTAGCAAGTAAAGTCGGTTTAAGCTAGGTAGTAGATAAATAAATATTATTATAAGTGATAAGTGATGTAGCAAAATATTGGAATTGGACGTATCATTGCATTTTGATGATATCGATGCGTTTCTAGAATACCTCAACTATTTTCGTTGCATTACGTTATTAGCATAATGATAAGCGGTTTTGGTGGTCGTTTATTCTGTCTTTTTTTTTTTTCGAAAAACTATTTATTTATTTACTTATTTTTGCTTAATTACAAACTCTGCTGTGTGAGTGGTTTAGGTTCATCATCAACATCAACAGCCTATAAATGCCCACTGCTGAGCAAAGCCTCTTCTCACACGGAGAAGGTTAGAGCATTAATCACCACGCTTGCTCAATGCGGGTTGGCGATTTCAAACTTATAATTAGAAATTATAAGTCCAGGTTTCCTCACGATGTTTTTCCTTCACCGTTTGTCAGTGGTGTCTAGATAATCTTAGAAAGTACATATAACTCGGAAAAAGTCACATTGGTACTTGCCGTTGGTAGGTTTTAAGCCGCATCCTCATGCATGAGAAGCGGTCGTCTTAACCTCCGGACCACCATGACACTAGGTCGGACGATAGGTCAAGAATCTCTAAAATTTAAGATACAAAATGTCGAACATTTAGAAAATAAAGTTAAAAAGCAAGAGAAGTGCTAATTAACTTCAGTATTTAGAGCGAATATGCGGAAAACATTACTACTAGTTGGCACTCGTTCAGTCGGCTAAATATAAGTACACATAGTATATGATTTGTATGTAATTCATTTAATTTGTCATTTCTTTACATATAATATTTCGAACATGACAATTGATATTCTACGAAAGGGTAGGTAGAGTGTGTGCTTATTGTGAAAGAAAAAGTCTTGGACCTATTCTGTTAATTGAGAATTAAATTAAGTACAATGGTTGTTTTAAAACGTCCCATGACACAGCAGAAAAGTCTTGTGGTGCCACGATTTGAAATAACAAAATGTTATTCGGATTACTTAGATTATCGTTAATCATTAAAAAACAAAATTAGAAAAAAAAATTAAACTTCATCTAAAATATTTGAATAACGAAGTCGCGAGCGGAGCGCTACCGTAAAAAAAATATTCGCTTCCTAGTTTCGTAGACATATTAGCAAAACAAATTATATCACAGATTATAAAATATAGAATGACAATGTACTTTTTACAACCAGGAAATGATCGATAAACAAGTCATTATGACAAAAATATTCAAATCAGAGGCCCTTGGACATTGATTTACGGTAGCAAAAAGGTCGCGAAATGTTTACATTAATATTAGAGCCAGTTATTAATTTAGCAGACATGTAGGTATGGGACCTTTGATAACAAGTGAAACAAGTGAATTTATTTACTTTTTTTGTTAATTCATAAGTTGAAGAGGAAATTGTCTATATAACAAATAAAACCATACACCAAATAGTTTTTTACATCTATACAGCTTTTCAAGTCTGAACGGTGCCTTCTCTATTTAAAAAAAGAAGGCGGTCCGGTTAGCGCAGGCTGTTGCCGGGGTTTACCAAAGACAATTTTTAGTTTTTCCTCATCCATTCATACCATATGGCGCATATGTGCTATTATTTTCCTTAAAAAATGGAGGAAAAAATAATAGACACATAATAATGAACGCATTCTTGATACCTAGATTTAAGTCATCGTTTTGTTTTATTTATGTAAAAATAGGTACTAAGAAGAATAAGATGACGGATGATTCAATACCATTGTTAGTTATTTTTATAAAAAAAATATAATGAAACAAAATGTAATCATTAATAGGTATGAACTTAAAATATTTAAATTGCAACAGCAATTTACTTTAAAGCCTTGAAACATACTTTAGAACTAGGTAGTTTTTGTCTCCACAGACTAAATTATGATCAAAGATTGTATTTTGATGTCTCAAAAGACCGTGTATTAATTATAGAGTAATTGCTATCAATGCTCTTGGGTTTTCATGCCGGTTTGAATTGATGAAATTTCTTAGAAATTAGAGGCAATCTTGTATTTAATCTTCTTAATATAGTCTACTTTCAATATCGACGATATTACATGATTCTCTTGGAATCTATGATGATATTAATCTATCTCTCTATTTTTGAACTATTTACTTTTGTATCACATTCCAGGCTCATCTTTTTTTTTAAGCACAGCGATCCCTTGCATACTATTTTCGTGGGCTTTTGAAAGTAAGTCTCTCTAATAGC